TGCCAGTGTGCTGAGAGCAGCCAGTGCTGGCCCACCCCGGCCCGCCTCCTCCAGCTACAAGATGAGCACCGAGGATTACAAGAAGCTGTGAGTATGCCACGGCACACCCCGTTTAACTCCCTCCGCCCAGAGAGGAGCCCGCGTGTGGCCCGGCCCCGCAAGCTCATACCATTGGCCTGCCGCCCCAGCCAGTTGGCCCTGGAGCCCACCAGAGCATGACAAAGCCCAGAAACTCTGAGGGCCGTGGGGCGCTGTTGCTCTCCTGACCTGAGGCAATGCAGGGCCCACAGGAGACTCATGGAGGACCCGTGGGTCTGCAGGGAGGATCACGGTCATGGTCCTGGGGCTGCCTCACACTGGCGGTGTGTCCTGGGCTGGGCTGGGAGGGGCCTGCCGGTGCGTGCATCCCCTGCCTAAATCTGAGCTGCTTCTTGGATCTAAGTCTACAGGGCTCTCCTTAGGGCCCCTCTCAAAGGCCCCCCATGCACAGCCAGGGAGGAGGCTATGGACAGAAGCATGCGTGGGGCCCCACATCTGTATTTGGTCTTTCCCTTGTCCCCATCATTTGATGCCATGGACAGAACAGCTGGGAAGCCTTTCTGGGGAAGTGGGCCAGTTAGGACCAGGACAGAGAAAGCCGAGGCGGCAGGGGCGCAGGCCCCAGGCAGCCCCACTGTGTGTGCTGGAGGGTTGAGTGCCAGAAGCCAGGCTCCTGAGCGGGACAAGGAGCCGGGGGAGGCGGGGACAGCTGTAACCACCTCTCCCTTCACCAGGGCTCCCTACAACATCAGGCGCAGCTCCACGTCCGGGGCTGCCGAGGAGGAGGAGGAGGAGGAGGAGGCAGTGCCCTTCTCCTGGGATGAGCAGAAACGGAGGTACTGGCGCCGTCTGGGCATCCCAGTGGCAGGATGGGGTGCAAGTCTCCTTTCCTTGCTGAAATGGAAGTGCTGAGTGGCATGGCCCTGAACCCAAGCTTCCCACTGCATGATGGAAGGCAAGGGTGAGGGTGGGAGGGCCGAGAGGATTTGCACGAACAGGCACCTCCTCTCCCTGCTCCATCCCAACCACCCTGCATGCTTCATTGCATGTCACTGGACGCTTCAACTTGAGAACCCTTCTTAAATTTAGTATTGAGGGGCTGACATTGATACTGGGTAGGAAAGGCATAGCATATAAGCCCCCAGGGTGGCACAGGGGGTGAGGGAGCCGCTGTCACTCTCCGAGGCCCAGAACTATCACAGAGCGCGGGGCCGGCTCAGGAAGTCATGGGAGCCTTCTGTGGGAAAAACCAAAGGAGTGCGGTCCAGGGAAAGCCTTGTTTGTGGGCTCTTCAGAAGTTTTCTCCGTCTGGAAGGGTTTCGAGAAGACTGGACATAAATAGGCGGGGCGGGGCACCCTGGGAGAAGCTGCGTCCACCGTGGCAGGGTCCCCGGGCCTGTGCGTTGCAGGTGGGAGCATCAGGAGCAGGTGTGTGCTCCTCAAGTCTCCTCATCCATACATTGCAGAGGACAGCGCCTGCTTTCCTGGGTTGGGAGATGAACGAGCCAGCGTGGGATGCTGGGTCCGGGACAGCATGCCTGATAAACGCGTTCATAATGCAACCACTCCCCTGGCGTTTCGGGGTTTCCTTTGATAGTCCTTAGAGCAGGCACGAATCTGGCCTCCCACGCGCCTCCTGCGCTCAGCCTGGAGTCACCCCAGGGGCACCCTGGGCTAGGCTACTGGAGCATGTCCAGTTTGACACCCATCAATTCCATCCCCACGCCCCAGATCAGAAGCCGCGAGCAGCGTGGTGAGGAAGACCGCTCCCCGAGAACACTCGTACGTCCTGTCGGCGGCCAGGAAGAGCACGTGGTGAGCTGTACAGTAGGGAAACCCAGCAGGGTGGGGGCCAGGCTTCTGGGCTTAGCTCAGCCACCAACCGGCTCTATGCCGTGGGACGGCTCCTCTGCCTGGTGAAAGGGTGGGTGCAAAGTTCACCCCAAGGGCCCTAGTAGCCACACCTGGAGTTCTCAGATGCATGTTCCAGAAAACTGAGGAGCAGACAAGGGGCTGACAATGGGAGAGAGGTCTGGTCTCGGGGTACAGCAGTCATGCTGTCACCTGCCCACGGCTTCTGCCCAATGCCACCATCTGCTTTCCTTCCAGCAGTGCCACCCAGGAACTGCAAGCCCCACTTATTGCAAGGAGGTGAGTGTCGCCAGGGCAGCCTGGTCCTGAGAAGGCCCCCTCGGGGTGTCACATGGGTACTGGGGAGAGGGGCCATGAGGGTGGGGCTTGCTGGCCCTGAGCCCTGGGGATCGTGAAGGCCAGGGGGCTTCTGTCTGGAGGCCAGACATGCAGCCATGTGGCTGTGGTGACATATGTGGCCCCAGCAGCCAGTTCTGCAGAGGCAGGATCCTGGTTGGGAATTCTTCTGTCTGTCAAGGGCTCACGGGACTGGACCCTTGGCCCAAGATGGGGCTCTAACCAAGGCCCTCTGTGGTTTTGCAGCCCAGGTAGCTGCCAGCTTACAAAAGAGTTGTCCCCTGCCCTCCGTTTCGCCTGCCAGGGACAGGCCAGTCCAGGGGCTTGGCATGGGGAGCCCTTGGTTGGCCAGCCCTGGAGATGCCCTCACTCCCTCCCGCCTATTGCTCCATCCTCTGCTCTCACTCGGGACCAAGACCAGAGTCCTCAGGACACATTCCCGTGGGAGGTGGCCAGAACATGGGAGATGGGTTCTAAGGGACAAACAGGGCTCAACAGGGAATGGTTGGGGTGTCAGAACATGCCAACTTAGGCAGGGGTGGCACCAATGATTGAGACAGGGCACCTCCTGAGAGAGGAAAATACTGGGAGAAGGCAGAAAAGAAGCTTCTGGAAAGCTGAATTTGTGGAGCCTTCAGTCAGGTGGACAGGGAAGGCCTCTACAAGGAGGTGGAGCCAGCACGCAGAGTGTTCCAGGCAGCGGATCCGAAGGCGCAAAGGCCCTGAGGTAGGAACAGCTTGCCATATGGGAAGGCCAGGATGGCCGACCAGAACACGCCGAGCTAGGCCAGGGCAGTGCGAAGGGAGCACCACCGAGCGCTGTGTCCCCACGGGCTGTGCTGGGTTCCGGGACTTGTAACCAAGTGCCATAGACCGGGTTTTCAAAGCACCAGAAATGGGTTCCCCCAGTTCCGGAAGCCGGAAGCCCAGGTGTCGGCATGGGTCAGTTCCCTTTAGAGGCAAAGCTGTCCTACGCCCCTCTCAGCCTCTGGGGGCTGCTGCCATCTTCACATGGCTTTCCTTTCCAGTATGTGTGTGTCCACATTTCCCTGCCATTAAAAAGACACAAGTCACTGAGTTTAGCACTCTTGCTAATCTGCAGTGACCTTGTCTTATCTTGGCTACACCTGCAAAGAACCTGTTTCCAAATAAGGTCACAGTCACAGGCTCCAAGGGATTGTTGAACCCACCATGCTGCCCTGGCGCTGAGCCGGAGCCACATGGCCCAGGTCTTAGCCGGCTGGGCCAGGTAGGCAGCCAGGAAAGACTGCAAGTGCCATTTTCCCTCTTGCCTAAAGGGTCGAGGTGGTGGACGAGGACGGACCTTCTGAGAGGAGCCAGGGCCCACCTGCTCTGGCAAGCGCCGCTCCTGGCTTGAGCAGGTAATTGATCACTTGTTTCCACCTGGGGCTGGCCCCCGCCACTCGGTCCCTGGGAATCTCTGTCATGTCACCTCCCTGCTGGGACTCAGGGTCAGTGTCCTCATGTGCCCCGTGAGAAGATGGAGCCCTCCTGGCTGGATGTCCCGAGGCTGAAAGAAAGAAAACAGTCTGGCCTCTAGGGCGAGCACGCTGGCCCTTGTCTGTGTGGTAGGTATCTGTGTCACCGTAGCCCTCGTGCACTGAGCCTGCTGACAGCACGACACAGAGAAAGTACCAACCGTGGGTTCTGAGAGGGCAGTCACGGCTTGCTTGTGGAGCTCCTGCAGGCTGGGAGGAGGCTCCTCAGTCCCCAGAGCCACCACACCTGCTTTCTTAGCCAGTATGGACGGAGGCAGAACCAGTGTCCCAGGTGAGTTGGATCAAGACATGCCAAGTGTGCCAGCCCCGCCGGGAGCTGGGAGCTCAGGCAGGCACCGCAGAGTGCCTCTGGCCAGGAGCCTGTCAGATGGTTCCCTGACTGGCCAGGACGCTGGTCTGGCAGGGTGGTGGGGCGCAGCAGGCTGAGCGCAGGTGAGCTCAGTCCAGGTGGGCCGTGGTTGCCCTGATTTCCAAGCCCCAGCATCTGGGCAGAGGACAAACCAGTTGGTACCTCCCTGGGCTTTGCGCGGAACAGTGCCGAGTCCCGCAGGGAGCACTGCTGCTCTGCTGTCGCTGAGAGCGGCACTTGTGTGGCACCCTTGGAAGACCCCTATGGGTCACATTCTCTGCCCCTGGGGGCCATTCCACCTCTCCTAATGCCATGGCAACCTCCCACTTCCTTCCCTAACTTGAGCGCCTGTTGTAGTCATGTGACACGTCCTCTGTGTCAGGAGGGAGACCGCAACACCAGCATCGGTGCAGATGGGATGGGGAGGGGGCCAGCTGCAAGCCTGCAGACCTTGTCTGCCCAGAGGGAGCCAGCATGTGAGACCAGCTCCCACCATGCCCTGGGCAGAGGGACTAGGGAGGAGGTGGCCCGGGAACCACACATCTTCGTCCCCCCATGCTCCCCGTCTGCCTCTCACATAACTTTAGTTCAGAATTTTTTTAAAAAAGGACTTTTGTCCTTAAGAATCTTTGAAGATGTAGAAAGGAAGATTTGAGAGCTCTTTACAAGGTGTTTTCTGAGTGACTAGGTGATTGGTGGGCTATGGGGACCAGGTTGCCTGTAACAAAGTGCCACACACTTGGTGGCCTAGGCCACAGAAATTTTCAGTCTCCCTCTCTTAGTCTGCTTTCCGCTGCTGTATTAGACCACTTGAGACTAGGTAATTTATAATAAGCATGTTTATTTGGCTCAGGGTTCTAGAGACTGAGCAGTTCAAGAGCATGGTGCCGACATTCGGCAAGGGCCTTTGTGCTGTGCCATCCCATGGGAGGAGGCAGGAGGGCAAGCAGGCTCATGAGACAGACAGAGAAAGGGGGCCAAACGTATCCTTCATCCGAGACCACTGCCATGATAACTAACCAACTCCTGAGATAACAGCACCAACCCATTCACAAGGTCGAATCGCCTCTTAAAAGGTCCCACCTCTTCATACTATCACATTGGCAATTACATGGTGGTGCTGGGCTAGGGCCTGCCAGTGGAAACGGCCCATGGGGAGTGGCTTTAGATGTCCCAGGTAGAGAATGGAAATAGCCACAGGTTGTAGCCACCAGAAGCTGTGGGCAAGGAGGGGGAAAAGCACACAGCATCTGGCTTAACAAAGCACCCTAAGGTTTGGGGAGTGGAAGGTAGATGAGAGCCCTCACCCATAGCTTCTAGTGTATTCAGCTTAGAAAACAACAAACTAAGGGCCATGGCCACCATCTGCGGGTGTCTGAAGAGCTGTTATGGAGAGGGGGAGCAAAGTTTTCTAGCCTGTGTGATTCCAGGAAATGGAATGAAGACTAGATTATGGAATGTTCTAGACACCAGAGCTGTCTCACAACGGGGCGAGGCAGGGTGCTCTTGGGACTGGCCAGGCAAGTTGGAGACGTGGTCCTCGCTCCCAGTAGGAGGCTCAGCTTGATGCTGCGAGTCGTTCTTCCTCCCTCAGTTTCTGCCATCACAGACAGTTTGGAACCCTCCAGGCAGCTTCTAGGTGAACTCCTTGGCTGGTCCTAGCCCTGGGGGCCTTGTCTTCTGACCAGCCCTGTTAAGCGCTGCTACACCAGGCAAGGCAGCTGCTATCAGTACTCCATGCGCAGCTCCTGTCTCCCCAAATCTGGGTCCTGCAGTACTCCTGAAAGGCGGGCTGCTTTCACAGAGAGAGGAGAATCTCAGTCTGGCCTCCAGGCACAGCCCGGCCATGGCGACTTCAGCCCCAGCCCTGCCCTGAGCTCTGACCCCACTTAGGTAGCTTCTGTTGGAAGAACCCTGAGTCCTGGTCCTAGGGCCTGCCTGGTGGATGAGGTAAAGGGCCCAGGAAGCGCCACCAGCACTGTCTCCGGGAAGCAGCCAGGCCGGGCTGTGGAGCAATGAGTAAGCACAGCTTCTGGCCTGAGACAAACCCTGGCTTGGTCACATACTGGCTGTGTGTGACCTTGAGCAGACCTCTTCACCGCTCTGTGCCTCAGTTTCCTCATGGGAGCAGTAATGCCTGCTCCCCGAGGCTGCTGTGAATACCAGTCGGGGTACTACATAGAACACACCCGACACAGTGCCTGGCTGCTGGCCTTGGGCGCTCCAGGTCCCTGGCTCCCTATCTGCAGGCCTTTCTTGGAATGTAGGAAGAGACCGATATTGTGCCTTGCTGGCGTCTTGGAAAGGCAGCCGAAGGCACTGAAAGCAGGTCCTCTGCCCCACTTCTCTGCTCTCTGCGCCATGGTGCTCCCACTCCCGCAGGTGACCAGGACCACACTGGATGTTCACTGGTCGGTTCAGAAGATGCTTAGCTCTGTGTTCAGATGTCTTTCTTTCTTTCTTTCTTTCTTTCTTTCTTTCTTTCTTTCTTTCTTTTTTTTAAGGTTGATTTGTTTGTTTCTATTTTTGTTTTATTTTTAGAGGTTTTTGCCTTAGGGCACATTTGCTCACTGGAGGGGACAGAGAGACAGAGAGAGTGAGAGATAAAATGAGAAGTCATCCCCCAGGGGAGATGGCCATGCTGCAATCCCTTCTCCATTCTCCTCCTGGGATCTTGGCCACACACGCACATGCCCTATATTACTTCAAAGTCACCAGGTTCAAGACTCTAACCATAGTTGGCCATGTGGGAGTCCAGTAACATAACCACCATGCCATATGCTGGCTGTGTGACCTTCCAGAGTGTTCCTGGCCTCCAGCAGCTCTCAGTCCAGCTGGGAACTTCCAACTGAACCAGAGCTGTCTGGGGTTGTGGTCTGGAGTGACAGTAGGAGGAGGGCTTCCGTGTGGGAGGGCCCTGAACCTGGCTGTCCTTCCATTTGCTTCTGGTCACCTCTGGTGCTCCGGGCCCCTCCCAGGGTAGAGGTAGAAGGGCAGAGGTGAGTGGCTCACTGAGCCAGCCCTCCCTGGGCTTCTGGTCTGAGTCAGAACCAGACGCCAAGGCCAGCCCCAAGGCTGGCTGAGAGCAGGCCGCGGA